TAATTGCTTATTTAAGGTTAATAAAATGGGCAAGTGATCAGTTGTTTGAAAGTCGATTACATAGGTATTCGATTCATATGGAGTTTTCAGGACAACATGGTCGAGGCAATTATTCATCCTAGTTGGTATAGAGTGCGCTGTAAGAAGTCCATTTTCAGCAAAAAGATTAAGATAGCCCTCCTCACTTCTTAGGTCAGTAGAGTCGGGTTTTACATCCACAACTAGATTACAATTTGCATTATTTACTTTGGCTTTGAGTCAGAAATCCAACATTATGTTAGAACCAGTACATCACAAGTGACTTGTAATAATTTGAGAAATCCTACAAAGTTGTTGAAGTTTCGATTAATGCTTCTTATGTTCTGAGTAATTATTTTTATACTTGGGTTGATTTTAACCTTGCAGTCATTCGGTTCAATTAGCATAGAATCCGATACAGCCACAGTGTCTATTTCTGTGTTAATGTTAGCTATGTCAAGCATTACATGATAATGGGTCTATTGGTATATTTTTTGGTTTTTAGTTTGTATGCTACAGCTGAGAAAAGTCAATCCTTCTATCCTAACTCATGTATAAAAGGTGTGATTGCAAAAAAAAATATGTATATAAATAATAGAAGGTGTGGAATTTAATTTGTGTATGATTATTATAAAGTGTTTATAAATGTTAATTTTGTAAATAAGTTTATGTGAATAGTAATAGTAAACTTTGTGGCTTAATTTGAATACAGAAAATATAAAGACTGAGCAAAAAATACAAGAAACGCATAAAAAATATAAAACTTCATCTAGTCACTTTATAATGGTAGTAGTAGCAGTCAGCTTCTTAATGTTATCTTCTTTATTGATTATTAATACCTTTGCGTCTTTATCCTTGCATATAAAAATGTAGCTGAGTCTAGTCTTTTACAAAGCATCCAAGTTGATGCTTTACAAAGCATCTAGAATCTCCCTTAATGGTTTTCCCTTTTAGCTATGATATCACTGTCTTCAAAAGGAGGCTAAACTTCTTCCTGAAGAGCCAGCAACGCATGAGTGGTACCCAAGGTGCTGACCACTTACCATCAGGTGGAGCTTGTGGCATTGTCCTAATACAACGCGATAACGCGAATTAGCGATGCGATCATCGTACGAGTCGACGATCAAACATATTGATCTAGAATAGGTGTCCTAATAGGCGATCGCGCGATGCATTCGCGCGACAAAAATGTTTAAAAATCTATCTTCGCGCTTTATCTTCGCGCGACTAAAATGTTTATTCGCGTATTCGCGTTCTATTAGGACACCCAGTTCGCGATCACGCGATGGTCGCGTCGTTTAAACGCGCGATGATCGCGTTATCGCGTTGTATTAGGACCAATGCCTGTTTGTCTGGACAATAGTTGTATAGAAAAAAACACAAAACTTATGAAATTATTAACAATCTAACATCTTTAAAAAGTCATAACTTTGATGATTTAATTAAAGTAAAATAAAAACTCACATATACTGTTCTTTAAACTTATTGAGGGCTTTAGCAAAATTATTTCTACTGTCATGTACTGATGGTATATGCAAGTCATTTCTGTATTTATCTCTCTCATCTGAATCACTATGATTCGAATTTTCTTTTTCATTGGATGACTTCAATTCATTATCCGAATCCGATATACAATCCTTAAAGTTATCACTGTTCTCTGTTTTGACATGAATTTCATTTAGGACCGAGGGCTTCAAAAGAGTGCGATTTCTGTTACTATACTGAAGTTGGTGGTCTCTCAATTGTTGAGCCACATAGCGATTATCATTTTCAATATTTATTTGTTTATTTCTTGCTTTCAATCTTTGCTGGTATAGTTCCAATTCTCTTCGAAGTCTGTCTACAACTAATTTCTGTAAAAGTATGGAAAAAAACTTACATTCATTTGAACTACAAATAAATATGGTCCAATAATAAATTGACAAACATTAATACTGACCCCGAAAAAACATGACTTACTTGAGTTTGTCCAATAGTAATAATATCTTTTTCAGCTTCTTTAACCTTTGTAATGAGATGGATATTCTGAAATAAATAAATGGTAAAAGTAAACTTTTCTGATAGCTTAATGTTAAAGCACACTAATCCTAACTTTGGCGACACATACATTTACATCTTCCTGAAGTCGTGCTACCCAAACCTGAAAAGAACGAAATAGATAAGAGAAAAATTACAGACTTGCATTATTATCAAAATAATGAATATTTTTAAATATATAATTATTTTATTATTATTAAAAAAATTACAAATAATTTTAAACATTTAGACGTTAATATTTGGGTGAAAATATACAAATACCACTACTGACCTGATGCACACGTATCGCATTTTTTAAATCAGATTGTGTTTTTCGAATATCTTCCTTTATTTCATTAGAGACTTCCATTGCTCTCTTTAAATAGAAATGCTACCTAGTTTTAGAAAAATATTTTCGCAACCCCTATTATCAGAGAGAAACACTGTAACTTGAAAACCAAGTCAAACAATGCACAAACAAACTAGTGGCTGATGTCAACTTATAATGCGCTCTTTGTACAAAAAATATTGAATTACCGTAAAAATAAATAAACTATTAAAAAATAACACTCAGACAACAAAGTATAATGTATATAGGTATTTATTATGGCATATATAGTGATCTGTGGTATGTACCTACTTTACCTACCTACCGCTCACAAGTAGAAAGACTGAAAGAGATAGAGCAATAAGACCGGAAGTTCTTTGCTGTCTGTGGAACCAAAAATAAAAGTTAATGCGCCTATTAGACTACCCAATTTTAAAGGACCCTAACTAAGGGTGGTGTATTATGGACTAACAGAACCTAATCTAGGGCATAGAGTACATTAATATACTAGTAAATCTAGGGCGATCGGCGCGACGACGACCCGTTCTTACTTACACCCAGACGATCGGGTAGGGAAATGTACAGAACAGCTGTCAGGGAGAGCTCCCTGACTGAGCAGTCAAAGCTGGTCAAAGCTCTGCGAGCGTATAGTACGGACGTGTTTGTAGTCGAATTAGTTTATTGGCGCAATGGCATCTAATAAAGAGAAAGCAGTGTTACTTAATTTTAATTGATATCTTCTATAATTTTTGTGCCATAAAAAAATCAAAAATTATCGAAATATTGCGCAAAAAATAGTAATTTATCTTCAAAATATACAATTGGTACCTTATCTAACCTCTATGTTACCAATTGTATTTATTTAAGTAAGAAATAAATTATCATTTTCATATTTCCCTATAAATAAAAAAAATAGTGGTTGCTTTCCAATTACAGAGCATAATGCGACTCAGTGGAGCACAATGCCGAATTATGCTGATGCTTAATTGGAACGTGAATTAGTTTTCAAATGCATCAGCAGAGTGCGCTAAGTTCAGTGTTGAAAAAAAAAGTCAATGTTTGTACCTTCATCTATCATCATCAGCCTATTAATGTCCCCACTGCTGGGGCACAGGCTTCCCTATGGATGGAATAGGGAGATTGGGCCATGATCCACCACGCGGGCCCAGTGCGGGTTGGTGGGTGCTAACGACTGCAGATGCAGCCGGGACCAACGGCTTAACGTGCCTTCCGAAACACGGAGGAGCTCGAGATAGTAAATTATGGTCACCCATCCAATGACCGACCACTGCGAAAGTTGCTTAAATTCAACGATCGCTGCGGAACGCGCTAACCACTTGCGCCAATATATTTATGTATATTTATGTTTAATTTTTAACACAGTTTGAATTAACTATGATTATTTAAAAAAAAACTATGATGAAACGAAACTTTTAATAATTTTTCAACAATAACGATAACATATAAATAAAACATTTCGATCAATGCCAACTTAAAGAAAAAACACTTGTTAATTTTCTGTCTCTGAGTTGGTACGATTGCACGCATCACACGAAAGCATTACTTTTGAGAGTGCTTAATTGTGCGAAGCGTTGCTGTAGTTGGAACACTCAACGTTAAGCAAAAGTTTCAAAGTTATCATACGAAAAAAAAAAAATCTCTGTGAAAAAAAATCATTTTAAGCCATGTTGGGGTTAAGTAACCCTTATAACAGATCACCATTAGCACTGTTTATTTCTCGCGCTTGTTTTCGAAATCTGAATCTGAATCTGAATCTGAGTGCACTCTGGCCGCACCCTATCTCACAGCGGGTCAAATAAGCTTTAGATTTAATCCTAATGTGATGTTGATGCCAAGTTGACATTGTTTTTAAATGGTAATAGGAAACATTCCTATGTCACATCAAGGTCATATCCTGTAGCACATTTTTGACGTTTATGCAATACTGTTTTATGTCAAAAAGTTAAACGTAATACGCATATAAGTTGACATAATTTTAAAGAGTTGATCATAATACGCACAAGTTGATGTCTAGTTGATGTCATTTTGATATCGCATTTTTCGGAGAGCTTAATAAGTAATGTGAAATTGACATCAAAACAATATCACAATTAGCGAGCAAGATAAATATGCAGCAGCCGTAAGAGGTAAAAAAGAACCAAAACGATTTCTAATATTAATTTATTATAAAAATTACAATTACTAATTCTTAAACTAGTTGACCCGATCGAAGTGTGAAACGAAGTGACGAGCCCACGGGCAGCATGAGGCATCAAATAGGCGCGGGGGGCTCGGCGGTGTACGAGTGATTCCCACGTTTTCTGCAGTGTCGGCGTTCTGGTCATATTACAATATGTACTGTGTGAATTGTAATACGGCGGTGTACGTATGATTCCCACGTTTTCTGCAGTGTCAGCGTTCTTCGTAATCTGACAATCCGTAACTAGCATTATTGGCCTGCTGGCGGCACGGTAACTAATCGTCTATACTATACACTTCTCTGTCTCAAAGACTTTATATAATATAAAGTCTTTGTTCTGTCTACGATTCGCTGTGTGTGACTGAAGCTTTATAGTAATCTGTGGTATGTTCTTACTAATCTGTGATGTAGTCTCTATAGATAATATAATCTGTTTCTGTTATCTGTTCTGCTGTTTGTCCTCTCCTCGTCCGTAGAAAATTTTATTCTTTTGTAAAGAAGAGCACTTCTATTAAAAAGGGTAATTCACATTTACAGTTCAATTAACTAAAATCTAATTAGTTATTCAGTTGTAGTTCGCATAAAAAACAACTTCAAAAATGTATGGCACAATGGCACGTTAAGAAAACTACTCAACGTATTTAAATGGTGTAAATTCAGAGGCTCTTACTGCAGAATTCAACTGTAAAACGGTTAAATACGTAGAAAAGAACAATGTCAGCTAAAAGAGCAGCAACTACGGAATTGAATCATGAAAACTGGGATCAAGATGATCCTTCTGAGCACGAAGAAATGGGGGCTTTCAGGGTGGCATCCAAAGATGTTTTAGAAAAACGTGTTATTAGGACTGCTAAAAGACGATCTCAGATAAGTGAAGATGTAAGTAACAACTGTAATATTTATTAAAATAACATGTTTCACTAAATAATACGTAACTATATATTGATGTTTTAAGACAGCTAAACTTCGGAGCTAAAAAGCGGAGTCAAATCGCAGTGTGCGAACGAACGAGAGAATAGCACATCGCATTGTACAACTGTTGTCAGTGCAAATCCTATCGAACCGGTGATACTAATAATTTGGCACACTGACATGCACATGATTGCGTATGGCTATGCAGTGCATAAAGGTTGTAGTGTGCTGTGCACCAAGTTTGATCTCGAGTTACAGCCCTTAGATGTACCACCAAGCTTGTATTTTCCTCTAATGTTATTTCAATGACATTTGTCTGTTGACAACCCATATTGAGAATGTTATTTTTGTTTTAGGGTAACAAAGGTCTTTTCAAGTTTGGAGGATTCAATAAAGCACAACCCTCATCATTCGACTTTCTGGCTAATTTGACCAATGGTAATAAAAATAATGGATCACCATTAAGTAAAAGTGACACTGCTGTAACATCTAGTTTATTTGCAAGTAAACCTCTTACAAGCAGCCCTAGTGGAGGAATATTTAGTACCACAACCTCAGCACCATCTGTCACAAAGGCAACATTTGGCATTCCAACTCACTCATCTACATTGTTTGGAGTATCTTCCACTAATACACAAAGTACAACATCAATATTCACTGCTTCAAAAGCAGATTCAACAGTCGGAGACTCGCCTTTTAAAACTCAGTGTATAACTAGTAGTACTGAGGTAAGCAAACCAGAAATAAGTAAGACAACAAATGTTCCAATAAATGCAGCTGGGTCTCAAGTGACTTCATCATTATTTGGAGTGTCTTCAACAAATCTGAGCACAGGTAAATCATTGTTTTCAATGACAAAATCAACACCATCAAAAACTCAACCTGTCTCTAGCTCTACTACAATACAATGCAACTTTGGGACAACATCAACAACAATTTCTAAACCCAGTGTTACTGAAAATAACACGAATTCTATAAATGATGATAAAAAACTAAAGTATTATGCAAAGTTAAAAGGGCTTAATGAATCTGTATCTGACTGGATAAAGAAGCATGTTGAAGAAACACCTCTATGCATTTTAACACCTATATTTAAAGATTATGAAAAATATTTAAAAGAAATGCAAGACGAATATCAAGGTAAACAGGGAGAAAAAGACGGCAAAAGTATTGGTTCTATTGAAAAAGAAATGGATAAGAATGAATCCTCTGAATCTGTCTCACAGTTTTCAAACAGTCCAATTATATCCACTTCAAAATCAGAGACCCCTAATTCTAAATCACCCTCAATGTTTGGAAACCAGAATAATGTACCTACTCTTGGGGAAAAGTCAGAATTTTCATTTGGTATTAATAATAATTCATTGAATATACAAACTACTGCAGGGTTTTCATTTGGAATGAGTGCCTCAACACCCACAACAATCACCAGCAGTCTGTTTTCAGGAACATCAAGTGTCAATTCAAATGGTGGTACTCCATTTTCTTTTGGAATAGGCAAGCCGTTTAGCTTTAACTCCAACATTCAAAAACCCACTACTGAAAAATCTGTAAACAACAATGAAGAAACAAATGAAGATGAACCTCCAAAAGTGGAGTACACACCAGTTGTAGAGGAAAACAGTGTATTTGATAAGAAATGTAAAATATTTGTGAAGAAAGACGGCAACTTTGTTGATAAAGGTGTTGGTACACTTTATATTAAAAAAATAGAAGAAACTGGTAAACATCAACTGCTTGTTCGTGCTAATACAAACTTGGGAAATGTTCTTCTCAATTTAATTTTAGCTTCAGCTATACCAACACAGCGTATGGGGAAAAATAATGTAATGTTGGTTTGTATTCCTACACCAGATGCAAAACCTCCTCCAACACCTGTACTCATCAGAGTTAAAACTACAGAAGAAGCAGATGAATTGCTAGAAATATTGAATAGATACAAGTTGTAAACAACATTGATTATGTTAATATTATTTTCTTTATAATTATTGTGTAGTATACAAATCACAAGAAAACATTTCTGAATCAATTTAACTATGTTTTTTATTCAGCAGAAAAGTATTGGTATCTTGATTAAGATGATATCTGGAAACATGCTGATTTTACATTTAGGAGAGACGGCATTTTCGAACTATTTTCGTACTTTCGCAATGACAACATTGCTTGCGTGACGATTTTAAAAATCGCGCTGTACCCGATTTTATCTCTAATATATTTACTTCTTCAACATGTATTTCAAAACGATAAAAATGCTTTCGTGAAAATAATCACTCGCAACAAATCTTTCATAGTGGTTTTGCGAGGAGTAGCACATAAGTAGGAGAATGTATAAATATTATACATGTTTTTAACATTGCTGTGCAGCACTGGTACTGTACATAGTTATTCGTAGGTATTTTTTTTTTATAAATTCGAAATCAGTCTCTAAGGACGAATAGCCATACGAAGTGCTTGTAGTATTAGAAAATATCCCGGTTCCCACTTGGGACGAGGGTGGCAAAACAAATAAAATGGCAATGCATGTAGAATGTAAAATGTGTGAAAACAAATTTAGCCTTACACAAATTTACATCAATGTGGTTATATTGTAATTTACAGACAGCCACAGATCAAATAACCCAAATTTGTTAAATTCATACCTAACATTAAATTCACAAACCTGAGTTTTGCAATTTGGTGGTAACTTTATCTGTGACTGTACCTCGGTCAAGTTTGCTTCCAGTCCTCTGGTGTACTAGAATTTCGCGGGCACTTCATATTCGTTACCTCAGGAATGCCATTGAAAACTTGTAGCGCTGCGTGAGGCGAACGACGACGGCAAGGTAATATTATGGGCACGCTCGATTGGTTGTCGCTGTTTCTACGCAGTATACAGTAAATCATCTATTATGATATTGAAATTGTACTGGCTGCGTTGCGAGAAAGTGGGTTCTCGCCTCTCGCGCGAATACGGAGTGCATAACTTTGACATAGTCATAAGTTCGCAGTTGTGAAATACCTATAATATGCTCATATGTTTACATAGTAATATGTATATATTTAATAAGTACCTATCATTTCCTTTTTCTTTATTCTCAAAAGAACCACAGGGTGCGCTCCCAAGATGGAACATTGTCTATTTTTTTAATAATGATTGAGAATCGAATATAGGAGGGTAGGGCATAGCGGATTTTCCGCTTGAATTAGGACGAAATAGGCGCAGTAAAATAACACTACACACTACCTTTTGGTGGTGTTGTTTCTAATTTGCTACCGGTAAGGATCCATTGGCTCCACTAGGTAGGGGTTAGGGAAAGAGCCGGGTCGGTGGCCAACGGCACGAATGACAGCTTTGGTATCGTTAGCTTCCTTATGCTTTGGTGGCCTTGGCGGCTTACCATAGTCGGTAGGTGTCGGGGTAAGTAATCGGATTCTATGTTTTTTTTTATCGTGCAGGGCATCGGAGCAAATCATTAACGCCTGTCAGGTCTCTGCACCTCTAAATCTAGCCCTGATAAGTTCCCTTTGTTGCCCTTGTTACTACCAGCAGTAATACCGTTATTTTTTTATTGTTCAACTAGACGGCTGCTCCCCCTAGCTGATAAATCGTTACCTACGCCAATGACGGCTCCGTGCTCAAAATAAACAACCAAATTAAGGGCAATTTGGTTATTTATTTTGAAATTTTATAAATGTGAAAGTTTGTTGTTGCTCATTTAGTCATAGGAGATGCCAAAAATATAGTAAAAAAAAACAAAAAACCCCTTCTGCCCCCCTAGCATGAGCACCGCCATATGATATATAACGCGTCTTTATCACGCTCAATTATCAAATTACTATGGAATTTGACAGTTAGACGCGTTAAAATGTAAATTGTAGTGCTCATGCTACAGAGACTGGTGCAGTTGATTAAAAATAAATAGAATTATTAGTAACTTTTCTATTATCTAATAAAAATCTTCCTTAAATTAAAAATATTATTGATACATTTTGTATGATAAAATACATTATAGAGATGAAATTTTAGCACATTACAAGATAATTAAAACATACCATTGTAGTGAATTTACATTGGAAATTCATTGACACTCAATTACAAATGATCACATCAGCCATATTTATTTACTTATTAGAATTTCAATTCACATATTGCACATTTATGTACCAGCAGTTATTGAAGATATTTGACCTAAACCCATCTGTATTCGCTGCATATGAACCTCTATATTATTTTGGAATAATTTTTGATGATGGGGATTTAATTTCATTTTTATTCTGTCCATTGACCCTTGCAATATACTTAATTCATAAGCATTTTGATCTGAATCCGATAAAGTTTTCACTTGTAACATCAGTGATGTGAGATCTGTTATAAGTTCAATTAGGGTTTGATCTCTTACTGAGCCATTGTTATTCTTTTCGAATAATAATGTAGCTTCTTCGGTACATTTTTCTCTTAAATGCGATGGAGCAAGCATAGCTGCTAAACTAGGACCTGGAGCTATTTGTTGGCAGTAGACTTGAATCTCATTGATGTAATCTTGCAAATCCATATTCATTCTTGCAAGATCTATCACTATGGCAGCATATTTTCTCTCAAAATCTTCTGGCATTTTTTGCCCAAAACATTTTCGTTTTTCAGCTTCGCTATTATATTCTTTTAGTCTATCAATTTTAGCTCTCTTAGCATACAATATTTTAGCAAGTTTAACAATCAATTCCATAAAGGCCAATGGATAATTACTGCCTGCAGACTCCAAATGCTTTTTTAAATCGGCACAGCCAATCAATGGATCTCCTTTAGTGTTATTGCTTGCATAAGGCTGACAAACATTATACATTTCTTGCATAACTTGACGTGGCCTGAACTTTTGAGCAATACTAGAAAGGCAAATAGTATCAGGTGGATCATTGGACAACACTTCAAAGTCGGGCACTGAATGTGTACCTAATTTAGGCCGTTCGAAAGATATTCTATATGTATTATTGGATGTATCCACAGCATCAATACAACCTGTAAACAAGCCATCTTGGGGCTTTCTTAACCTAGCTGTTACCTTAGTACCAACTACTAACTGCATAGGAATTTCATTTGGTAAGTCTTTCAGAGATATATCTGTAGTTTTCCTTTGTTGGATGTACCTTATTAATCTTCTTTTTCTTTCAAGCTCTTTTCTCTCTTCAGCAAAGAATGCTTGTGAACATCTCCTAGGTTTTCCCATCATTCGTCTTATTTTAGCCCATTGCACCCGAGTCAATTTTCTATTGGCAAGTTGCGGAAAAGATTCCTTTAAACATATCATAAAGTCATTTTCACCATCAAATAGGGCCTTGTCAATGTTACTATAAAAATATTCAAAACAAACCCACTTATGTGCCTTAGGTAATTTCAACAAGTTTCTAAGTCTCATTCCAATTCGTTGACCAGACTTTCGATCTGGTGATTGGGTAGTAATATTCTCAGATTTATCATCATATTTGTCAACATTCCTTTGAACTTTTGATGGAGACTTCTGCTTTTTGGCACTAGATGTTTTATTAGGTGTTCTTGCAGTGATTCTTGGAGTTCTTTTAGGGGATTGTCTTGGTGGTGACGTATTTACAAAATCATCAACAAATATAAATTTGTTTTTCTTTCTGATTCGAGCAGGCATACCCCTTGCATTCAACTTTTGCACTGGTTCACTAGGTGCCGGTTTTGGCGGTAACTTTGTACCAACTCTATGAAGGCCAAGTGCAGCTGGTCCAAAAGCTGGTGGTTCTTCTTCTTCCGGGAAATCCAAGTCCATTGGTTCATTTTTAACTCTAAGGTGTGAATGTAACGAACTATTATCACCATCTATCTCTCCTGAAAAAATATGAAAAGGTCTTAAAGAAAACTTGTTACTTTAATCAAAAAGATATTTAAGCATTCGCTACTACTGATTTTGTTAAGTGACGTCTAATAATTTCAATCATAATTTCGCACATTTCGCTAAAACCAGTCGTCATAATTCAAATTTCGATAAAACTTATTGTCAAATTCGTCTTGAAATTTGAATTTTTTCAAATTTTGAACCTAGGCTTTCTTCGAATTCGAAACTGTACAACTCGGGAATAGTTTAGCAAACACAGTTTTACTTTCTACGTTTTTAGAAAGTTCTAAGGGGTAAGTTTGAAGAGCGTAAAATTAATGTTAGTTAATTTTAAACAAAACTTACTTTCTGATTTATCCGCCATGTTGATGTGGTAAATAAAATTTGATTCGTTTGAAGATGAGAGCGCCAAGAGCGTTTCGGTTACTAAATAGGGCTGCGTTCCAAACCTACGCAGAGTATAACTTTTCACTCTGACGTTTTAATTTTGACTTTTAATGTAAAGGCAGAATCATATTGATCCATAGAAAGAAGAAACAATTATTTGTGGGTCGTGTCGTGTCGACACGATGATTCTATTTTCATCGAGTATGTTATGACAGCGCTCACCAGTACCCTAAGCACGAACCATTAACGAATTCGAATAGTTTGCAAACCGAAATGTCAATTTCGTGCTAGGGGTACAGAATTAAATACGAAATGTCATTGTCAAATATGTACTGATTTTTAGTTCTAGTTATGTACTTTGTGGCACTGCTGTTCAAGTTTCCATACAAAATTTGACATTGACATTTCGTATTCACTAACGATACGAATTCGATATTGGTTCGTGCTAGGGGTACTATTATCTTCAGTTGACATTTTTATATGTAAAACCCAAGGAACTTATATATAAGTGACATTTTTACAGGTAAAACCCAAGGAACTTATATATATGTTCCTTGGTAAAACCACCGGGTTAAACTTCTATTGCATGGGAAGTGCACATGTGCACAAATGTCGGTTTATTATTGTATTGTATGTAATTATTTTTTTTATTTTCAGATTGATTATGTTGGTTCCTATTCTAAATATTCTTCGATTTTTTTTAATCTTTTGCAATTTTTTATGTTATGCTACCGAAATTTTTGAATGTGTAGATAAATCTGATTATTTTCTAAATTCTCAAAGTAATGTAAAGTTAGTGAACGCAACAAGAGGAATTTCATTGCACCTCGGTTGTAATTACTGGTAGGTAAATATAAATTACCGGTTTTTTAAGATTAGGACTGACCCTTTTAATATGTCTCTACTGTTCCTTTGTATATCTGGTAGAGTATCTGGTAGGGAGGCTCTATGCTCTATTGGATATTAAATTTGTATTAAGACATAACCCTTGATACAGTTTGTCTATAAAGTCGTGACATTAAATGATGGCGCCTCTAGTATGCATGTAGCAACCCTATATAGTCGGACCAAAATGATTTTGATACAAGCAGTTCATTCAAGTAAAATAGGTAATTAAGACACACTATACAGTCGTATTTTGTTTCTGTTTTATATATAGTAGGTACATATACTTATCAAATGTTTTGCCAAGCATATTTAATTCAATCAGAATTAAATAATATTATAGATAAAATAGTACTTTATAGTGTAAAAGTGTGTAATGTTGGTGATTACCGCTGAGGTGCCATTGAGACCAGAGCCGTTAGGTAATCATCAATACACATAAGTATCATACGTTTTTTAACACACTTGTTAAGAAAATAATACTAAAATCATTTTATAGTATATAAAAAGTTTATTTAGAGAAACAATTTGTAAATGTGCAGTTAGTAAAATTAGTGATAGGTATCTTTACTAAAAGCATCTGGCCATGGTTCTTTATGTGACCATTTCTTACTTTGGTCGGCCATGCCTGTTTTCCCAGGAGTTTCAAACTTTCCATCATTCTTAAAACCTTCGTTGACTATTCGACTCTCTAATTTTCCTGAAAAAAAGTAAAAAAATATGTAACGGAATAGAAACAAAAACTTTTTTTTTATATATTAAGGTAGGTAAATGACTCTACCCCACCTGATGTCAAGTGGTAATAAAGTCCAACCGCGAAGATAGCTGGTACAGCAGTTATAAACTGCTACACCAATCGTCCTCACCTTGCCGGCCTGCAAAAATGCTTCTTCACGCCTCTCTTAAAGGACCCCAGATTATAGGAAGGAGGAAACACTTGCGCGGGTAAAGAATTCCACTTACGAATAGTACGACAAAGAAATGAGTCACCAAATTTCTTTTTTCGTGTAGGAATAGTGGCCACAGTAAGTCGGTGGCAACGTAGGCCAGCGCGCGTGGTCCTCTGAAGAAAAGGTGATGGAGGGATAGGGGAGAATAACTCCTCAGAACGCTCACCGTGGTATAGTCGGTAGAACGTGCTTAATGATGCCACACATCGCGGCGTAATTGTAGAGACTCGAGTTTGCTAGTAACCTCTTCATCGCCAATGATGCGGACAGCGCGCCGCTGCAACCTATCCAAGGCATCGAGTAAGTACTTGGCGGAGCCATCCCAGAGGTGCGAGCAATATTCCACGCAGGACCGCACTTGCGTTTTGTACATCAAGCACAGTTGATCGGGCGTGAAAAAACGCCGCACCTTGTTCAGGACTCCGAGTTTGCATGAAGCTGTTTTGATCACGGTTTCGATGTAGTCCTTTGGATTCAGGTCTGAGCGAATTTCCATACCGAACATGGTAACGTTACTCTGTAGCGCCAGTGTTGTGCCCTGAAGAGAGGGAAGGAGAAGGAATGGCGATGTTTTAGCCGTGAAAGCGCAGACTTATTGACATGAAGCAATTAATTTAAAATTGGTAGAAAACCTGACCGAGTTGAACCATAATAACGTATCAAAAGAAATGGTCGTACTACAATATTACCTATTTACAATGTCAATCTAACCTAAAAATGTGCAATGTAAACAATGCCTTTTTTGGTCTCAAAATCGTAAATTGAGTAAATTTGTAACTTCAGGCAGATTACAAACAAATAGTTACACGATTACATACCCGTCATAGATGCTGTTCGCCCATAAACATCATCCAAATCCCACAAAATTCGTCCAGCTTGGTAGTCTTCGAAACATCGCTGGAAAATTTTAAAAATCACTTCCCGCGTGCCACTCCGATTTACTTTACTCATTTTATACATTTCCGCGTAGTTTCGTTTTAATTTATTACAGTTTAATCCAAACAATAAAAAATACCTGGCTGTGCAGACTGTATAGGGTTGCTACATGCATACTAGTGGCGCCATCATTTAATGTCACAACTTTATAGACAAACTGTATACGAGTCCAAATCGCGAGTTCGTTTAAAATAGCAAGTAGTTATAAATTTTAAATATTCCTCTATTTTTAAATTAAGTACCTAGTTAAAAGCTTATAATATAATATAGTATAATATACATATTTAATTTCAGTAATTACATTGAACATAACATTGGGCCCAGATATTGGACTTATAGAAATCGAGACGATAATAAAACGAGAAAAATAACATTGACTAATACTGAAGAAAAATATGAAGTATCCAAATATTCAATATCACTACCGAGTTATACGTTGAATATAAAGGATTTTAGACGAAACGATTCTGGGATATATATTTGCAAGATTTTTTCTGGGGCTGATTATAATATATTTACATTTATAGTAGATAGTATGTAATGAAACCTTAATACCAATAACTTGAGCTGTCCGCTACCTTAAGCGGGAACACGAAGTGGATCTCCGCCATTGCGAAGATCCGCTCCATGCTCCATCACTTGACCTGTTCAACCTGAACCTTCAATAATGCTTTATTTTTGTTGATAATACTACCAAGCCAAAAGTCTAACAAGAACAATGAAGACATCCAATCGAGCGTGCTCCGTCGCACACGGGAGACTGTCCTCATGCAGCGCTGCTCTATGAAATGGCATGAAACAGTTCCCCTCAGAAGAACAGAGATAATAAACAGTTTAACGCAATATCATAATTTTCAAATTCACACTGTTGAATATTTCAAGGGTTGTGAAAATAATACTAGATTTTGCTCATAGCTTCACTATTCGATATTTCCTTAGTTATTCTATCGTTCAATTTTTTTTTACATGAAAGTTTCTTTATAATTAGTGGAATATCGTGTGCATGATTTTACTAACCACATATAGACAACTGTGGTGTTGTTATCGTCACATTTCATTTAAGCGGTCTCGTCACCTAGGATAGGATATGTATCTTTTGGCATCCTGTGACCGTCACGTCACCAGTTTGTTAGTCTTCACATTAAACTCTGAATATCATGTCGAGTCTTTGACGAGACAACTAAAACGAACACAACCAAAAAAAATCGTCATTTTATTTTCCCAAGGCCGTTTTTTGGCTCCATCATCAGTCTATAGATATTATGTAAGATCCTTGTCAAGATCACACACCATGGGAGTACGTCATTTTATTTTAGAGTTCCATAGCCGCCCACCTTATCAAATAAGACCCTGACTATCAGCAAAGACCTTGTCGATTGTCGAGGCTTTCCAAACGAGCCTTCACTCGATTGGATGGCGTCTTTTTATGACAGGACTTCTTCCTATGGACACCTGCCGTCTCCATTATCAGATCAACTCGATAACGATGATACAATAATATTGCATTGTCATAGTAAATTCTTATAAATTACTTTTTAGGTGTGTTATCAACAGACTTAAAACGTATTGTCGGCACCATAAGACAATGGAAAAAATTTGAAAGTGACTACATTCAAAGCTTGAATGTGTTATTTAATACATCTCAAGAGCAGCCTTTTAAAATGTTGAGAAATGAGCATAAAATATTACTGCAAATATTCATGTTTTGGGAACAGTGGGGTCCATGCGAAGTAAAATCAAACGGAAACCATGACCGGGGAATACGTCGAAAATTAGGAAAATGTAGAGTGCATCCTTTAAAAGCAAAGTTTGATAATGTAAGAATATTCACACGTCAAGTTAAAGAAAACTCTACTAGAAAGAAATACAGGCGGCCCAGGCATCAGGCGGGTTTCGAACCAGCACTTTCCGCAATCCGGGCAGATGATGCCTGGATAGTGTGGATTTTTTCTATTTATAAATCTAGCAGTGAAGTGCTTCAAATAAAATAATTCCTTGGTGTCCGTTATGATAGCGTTCACCATATCAACGTCAAGTTTCAACGTATATTATTAAATCCTGCGTAAAGAGTGCCTAAATTGTGCAATAATCATGGACTTATCACTTCATACAATATTACAACCTAAAAATTAAACACGTCTGAAAAATCACCATAACGAGCTTCGATATAATGAATCGTTTAAACGCCCACCGCTAGTATCGATACCGCTACGCGCCACGCGTCCTACTGTTTCTCATTCCGATGCCACTCAACGTCATCTATACATTATACTTACTTATATAGCTCACGGTACTAATCACAGATCTCTATTAACATCCTTCTACGATCGAGTAAGTGAATTTATAAATGAAAACCCGTATGATTTATTTTTAGTTATTGGTGATTTTAACGTCTCCCATGCTCATTGGTTGTCTGGAAATTTTTTGAATGGCTTAGATATAGAAACAAATAGTGAGATTTTAT